TGGAACAGAGGGATCTACATTTGGAATCACTAGAGGAGAAAGAAAAGAACAAGAACATGAACCAACACCAGGAATATTGGACTGAAATCAAGAACTGATCAATGACTGAGGAGATTGATCTGGGATCAGGATACATGTCAGTGTAACAGTATTTTCTTCCAGTCCTACGGAGGACGAAGTTAGCTTGATATGTGTCATTAAATTCAAACTTGTCTGAACGACAGTAAAAACTGTTCAACCTCCAATAAAGTTGATGGACGAGTGAGTGGAAACCATGAACCAACGTTTGGAGAGAGAGGCAACAGCAGCAGCAGCAGCAGCAGTAGCAGCAGCAGTAGCAGCAGCAGTAACAGCAGCAGTAACAGCAGTAACAGCAGCAGCAGTAACAGCAGCAGTAACAGCAGTAACAGCAGCAGCAGTAACAGCAGCAGTAACAGTAACAGCAGCAGCAGCAGCAGCAGTAGCAGCAGCAGTAGCAGCAGCAGTAACAGCAGCAGTAACAGCAGCAGCAGTAGCAGCAGCAGTAGCAGCAGCAGCAGTAACAGCAGCAGTAACAGCAGTAACAGCAGCAGCAGTAACAGGAGCAGCAGTAACAGCAGCAGCAGTAGCAGCAGCAGCAGCAGCAGCAGTAGCAGCAGCAGTAGCAGCAGCAGCAGTAACAGCAGTAACAGCAGCAGCAGTAGCAGCAGCAGCAGCAGCAACAGTAGCAGCAGCAGCAGCAGCAGCAGCAGTAGCAGCAGCAGCAGCAGCAACAGTAGCAGCAGCAGCAGCAGCAGCAGCAGCAACAGTAGCAGCAGCAGCAGCAGCAACAGTAACAGCAGCAGCAGCAGCAGTAACAGGAGCAGCAGTAACAGCAGCAGCAGTGACAGAGACTCAGCCAGGAAGACAAATTAAAGTGAAGAAAATCCGACTTTTTTTTCCTCTCGTCTGCTGGAAATAAAAACTTTTTGCGACCACTGGACTCTGAGGAATGTCTGCTGTTCTCAGTTTCTCTGCCTCAGCGTCAGCGGCCAACTGTACGGCAGCGTGCGGTGTGAATGTGTGGTGTGAATGTGTGTGAATGTGTGGTGTGAATGTGTGTGAATGTGTGTGTTTTCTCCTGGAAACAGTCGGGTTGAACAGACAGGTGTTTCCTCCAATAAACTCCAGGACTGGAGTTGATCCTGGAACATTTACGAACTTTTATGTCTGTTTTTTTTTTCTTTCTTTCAATGAAGACACAAAACCAGATGTTCAGGTTCAAAATCTTTTTACAGACTTTTATTGTTCTTTCATAAAATACACTTGATGTGAAACAAACTGCCTTCGTTCGTTCGTTCGTTCTTTCTTTTTCACATCTCGTTTTCGTAAATCACGTTTCCTACTTCGACTTTCCAAAATCCCTCGTCATCGTTTCTCTAACCCTACGTACTTTTTCAAACTTCACTAACGATCTCTCGTCTCGTCCAGACGTTCTGGACGTCTGTCTTCGTCGTCTCTCCTGGTCCGTCTGTTCTCATCTTCACTTTCTTCACCATCTTCAAACTTATTTGTTCCATCGTCAAGTCCGTACAGAGGTTCGACTCCCGTCAGAACAGGCTACTACGCCATCGCTGCCTCTACAGGTGAGGGCCCACAACTACAGCTCCACGCAGGACGCTGCACTGAAAAGTGTAATTTTTATTAAAAGTCGGCTTTAAATAAAACCCGACGTGGCTCAGTTCAATTTTGTTTTTTTGGGACAAATCTGTTTTTTTAACTGTCCTGATGGGAATGTAGAAAAATAGAGAAATCTGCAGCTTGGTGTAGCCCGATGGTCTGATGGGTGCTTCTTCTTCTTCTTCTTCTTTTCTTTCACCTCACAAACATCAAAATCACCTCGGAGCTAAAACAGTGCTGCTTTACGTCGTCTAAAAAAATAATACTACAATAATTTTAGAATATTAAAAAAAAAGTAAAACTTTCGTGGACTCCCCTCCAAAAAAGGTTTCAAATAAAGTTTAAAATTTAAATATCATATTAAAAGTAAACGGTCGATTTCACACCTCCTTCTCCAAGGAACCCACTCAGGACGCTGACCAACTGTAAGTCTCTCCACGACGCTGCGTCTCAGCGGGGTGTAAGGTGGGAGGAGGGGTGAGGTTTATAGCTGCCAAAGAGGACAGTAACACAGAACACTGATGTCATGATACACGGGGACGCAGACACACATAAATACCACGCCGCGCTCCTCCGCGCCCTCAACCTTTATGTACAACCAAAATGTC